AAAAATATACCGAATTATAAGTGATTACATTTTTATTTTTTTAGTAAATATGTATGTTAAATAATTTACAAAATTTTTGCAAATGTAAAATTTATGATAAAAAAAAAAAAACATTAATTGATTAATTATTTGATTAAATTTAAGTAATTTTAAAGAAACATTCTTAATTAATACTACATACAAATTTTTGAAATTCGCTTCGATTTAAAATGATTGCTTTATGTCTGTTTTGATGTTAAAATATATGTATAATAAGTCAATTAATTTATATACTGAAATTAATAAGTATTTTAAAATAAATTTTACACTGTAATATCGGCAATAAATTTCTTACCTATTTGTAATAAAATTAAAATTTTAATTTATTTTTTTGCTTAACAAATCTTAAATTCAGATATTCGCATGCACATACAAAGTCTGCTTGCATAATCTTCCCTTGAATAAGAGTAGGAGTGGATGACAAGAATTCTTAATAAACCCATTGCAAACTGGGTGCTGGGGCTATGTGGCCAGGACGGGAGTTACGGCTCAGTTAGCACTATAGGGCCTAGAACATAGAAATGTTACATTTTTTTTGTACCGGACGCGTTCTTTTTTCCAGTGCTACTAAAGTGGCGTTTGTATTTTTAAGCCAAAGCCAAAAGTATTTTTTGTTAGTATATGTACTTTTAGTCGTCTTCTTTTTTTCTCCCTCTCTCTCCTTTTTTTTTTTTTTTTTTTTTTTTTTTTATCTTCAAGTGTTTTTTTTTTTTTTTTGTTTTTTTTTTTTTTTTTTTTTTTTTTTTTGTGTGTACATCCAGAACCCATTGAAAATAGCTAACAAGGGTATAAGGTGCTCATGCAAATATGAGTAACAGGCCAGACGGCGACAAAAGGCATATTTCGACTCCTTGTTGAATTTGCGAATATTAATATTCGATATATAGATAGATCGTATATATTGTATATAAATCAGAATATTCGAGACGACTTAGGCAATTGCAAAGCTGAACTGATGCCGCTGCTGTATAGAACTTTATATCTAGAATATTGTTCAAATCTCTTCAATTTATTTGCAGTACATTCCGTCAAGTTCAAGCGATATAGATATATTATAACATAAAAAGTTAAAGTAATGCCACATAACTAAATACAATCTAATGTATTCATAGTAAAATAGATTCTCTCAGAGTATATTATTTAGATTTATATTTGCTTAAATCTATAAATACATAATACACTAAAATAGAGCTCGCATTGTTGCTTAGGGTATTTGCGAGTCGAGCACTGACGAGTGGCGCACTCCAATATATTCCAGTTTATTTTTAGTGGTGCCTCTGATGCTGCCTGGCGCTTGGTGCACAGTTTGTGTGGACCGGAATCTCGATGGGTCGGCACTAGGTTTCTAATCAGTGCAGCTTCCGCTTGCCGGGCCGTCAGTCAACACTGCGCGATATTTGTCAACAAGCGGAACTATAAATATGCATGAAGGTTTTTTCACGAAAAAAAGAAAAAGGCTATAGGGCTGGGCTAGGCTTGGGAATGTTAGTCCTGGCCTGGCCTCACCAATCCCAGTCCCCGTCTCAGTCCTAGGCCCAGCCCCACTCCCCGTCCCAGTGACAGTGGCGAACGAGCAGGCTTTGAAATTGCACTCAGGCGATTTGTCAGAGAGTGAGCGTAGGGTAAACTCGTCTGTCGAGCATTTCATTTCATTCCTACTTTTTTTCTGGCACTACATCAATTTTTCGGACTAAGGGAAAATAACAAAAATCAACTTGGAAAAACCAGTAGTAAATTGTGAACTGCAATAGAAAAGTGAATTAAACACATTGAACTAACTAGGCAGATACATCGACTGCACTAAATTCTGAAGTGGCAGCCTCCCGTTGTTGGAGTCCCCAGTAGTATCCTGATACCCATACAGAGGATGTTCCGTCAACTTCAATTGAAAGCCCCCTTCAAGGGGCTGCAGCTGAAACGCTCATTGACCTACAGTGAGTAGATCGAATTGATGTCATTGTTGTTGACTGAATTGATGCACATATATCCATAATCGATTAAATATATACGCCTTCTCTCGCCAGATCCAAAGCAAGCACAGCCAATTGCTTTGGTCGAGGTCCCTGAGGAGATTAAGCAGGAGCCTCAATTCAAATTGAAATCGACGGCAGGACGCCATGTATCGCAGTTAGTCGTTAAGATCGCCTCCAAGATGGTAGAGTGCAACGCCAGATCCCCATTGGGCTACTCCAATTTGCGCTTGGAGCTGCCGATCTATGAGATGAACCACACAGACATTAGGCAGTACAGCGTCTGCCTGAATCCGCTGGATCAACTGCAGATAGAGCAGGGCAAGCTGAACCGCACTAACAACGTCTCGATTGGCTACACCGACATGGCCGTGGAGCAGCCGAACAGCACGGCTGTTGCACCCATCGAGCCGTCGGTGGAGCAGAGTCTGAAGAACACTGGCACCGCCAAGCCGCCGCCACAGCCGAAGGTGCCAGAGCCGCCGGCCCGCAAGATACCCTACTACAATCCACTCAGACGCCGCAGCAATGTCGATCCGGCACGCGTACAGTATATCAAGGACAGATTCAAAGAGCGTAACATGGAGACCGACACCAACAAGCCGCAGGGCAAGAAGTTCGTCTCGCGCACCACCCTCCACTCGGGCCGCTTGGACAAGATTGATTAGATGCCTCTCCGCGAAGGTTTTCCCCGATTTTTCCCATTTTACTCCCACACAGCAAGTCGTCTGTAGAACAGCAATCACCTCATGTTTTCAGAAAATTGACTTTAAATATAGTTTGTTGCCTATTGGCATTTTAGCAAAAACCGCAAAACTGATTGCCTCCATCTGTCTGAACTATATTTTTTTATTTTGTATTTATTTTTTAA